CAGGGCAGGCTCCCCTCACAGCCCGGTGCCATCTCAGCCCCGGCCCCAGGCGATGGCCGCGGCCCCACAGGCGGGCAGCGCTTACCTTCGGCGGCGGCTCCGGGGGCTCCCCGCAGGTTCTCCTCCGGTTCTCCTCACGCTCCCCTCGGGCTCCCCGCAGGTTTTCCTCACGCTCCCCTCAGGCTCCCGCAGCCCCTCAGCGCTCCATGGCCCCGGCGCTGGCGGCGGAGCTGCGGCCGCGCTTCTCCAGCGCTGCGGAGCGAGCGGGGCCGGCCCCGCGGGGAGCGCCGGCGGCTGGGCTGGGCTGGGCTCGGCTCCTCGCTGCCTTCCTTCTCTCCCCGCTCCTCTCCTTGCCTTCCTTTCCCTCTCCTTGCCTTCCTTCGCTTTCCCTTTCCGCCTCTTCCTTTCCCTCTCCTTCCCTCCCCTCTCTCGGCTCGGCTCCTTCCTTCCCTCCGCGCTCGGCTCCGCTCTCCCCTCCCGGTTCCGTCCGTCCCGCCCCGCTCCGTCCGTCCCTCCCCCGCCGCAGCCCCGGCCCCGGGTCCCCCCCGGCCGCCTTTGAGCCAAGGCAGCAAATCCAGCCAAAATCCAGCCTGGATGGGGCCGGGAGCAACCTGGGCTAGTGCTTGCCCATGGCGGGGGGGGATGAGGGGAGCGCCGAGGTGCCTCCCAAGCCAGACCAGTGCGGGATGCCAAGGAATCGAACGCAAAATTATCGATATCATTGCATCCATAGGGGCAGAGCGGGAGAGAGGAGGCAGCTGCTGGTGGTTTAACTCTCCCTGGGGAATGCTGCCTGGAGCAGGGGACACTCCACACCCAGGAGAAGCAGCAGGTACAGCTGGGCCAGGCTGGGGTGGGATTTTGGGGAGGAATTCTTCCCCGTGAGGGAGGTGAGCAAACAAGAGCTGCTCGCCTCAAAGATTTAATGTCACATGTCACACACCTGTGGGAGCTGCTGCCCGGTCACACCACCCCAAACACCCAGCAGATAAAGGGTAATTCTCTTTATGTGGATTTGTCACTTCTGTTTCATCCTAAACATGAGATCTTTGGGTGTTTGATGTCCTCATCAAAGGCCAAGTTTCTGGAGTAATAACATGAAGACTTGGTTCACGTGGTAAAATAGGAATTTTCTGGTCTTCAGGGCTGAGGAGCAGCATTTAAAAGGTTTAAAGAATCAGCCCCAATTCCCCAAAACCTCAGAGTCCAGCAAGGGAAAATAAAATCTATTCATTATAAAACCTTTAAAATGAAAAGTTAAACTGGTTCTTTGTGGATGACACACAGCCCCTTGATTTTTTCCAGGGATTCATGACTGCAGCCTCTGAAAAGTGAACAGAAGGCTGCTGTGTTGGGATTCTTGCTCAAGTCCCATCCCATGGCCCAATATCCCACAGACCCACAGGCCAGACCACGGCAGATCTTGATAGACCACTTTTTATGCAATAAAAGAACAATATTGAATGAAAGTTTTGTGCCATGGAATCATACAGAGGAGAAAAGATTGCCTGTCCAGCTCAGTAAAATTAAGAGTTAATAATTAATGGAGAGATTTCTATAACATACAGGAGTTTCTTTTAAAATATAAAATTAATTCTCAATCAAATTTCAACATGCCAATACCTTTTACAAAATTTGAGCTGCAGTGAGGAGAACCAAGGTGAATTTTTGTCCCTCTCTGCTGCCTTGGACACATCACATGCAAGGAATCTGGTCCAGAGTTTGGTGTGCAAGGGTGTTAAACTTGTTAAACTCTGTGAAACTCCACAGAGAAGTCACCCCTGGATTCTAGGTGTAAACCCTGTGGTTTAGGCTCAGGCAAATCTTTGGAATATTTAGGAGTTGTCTTGTCTGTAAGCACTGAACAACACAAATTATCCTACAGAATTCCCTGAAAAATGGCTGAAAGAAACTCTGCCCTTCCAGACAACAAGGCCAGGGAAATTCACATCCAGCTCTTGGTCACTCCCAGCCTTCAGGCAGCACATCCGAGCTTTTCAACTCCCTGGCAACAGGAGAGATCAGCAATCCTCATTCAGGCACGGCTGCAATTCCAGAGGCTGGGAACAGCAGCAGCCGGGGCTGTTCCTGTTTGCAGCAGCTCCCAGGGTTCCTCCTCTCCTCCCTGACATCCTGCTGGAAGCTGGGATGCTGGGAGGGAATGCTGAGAGCAGGAGGGTGAAAGGAAGGGGCTCCTGAGAGCTCCTGCTGCCACCATGGGATCATGGATCACACTTCTCTCCCTCTGCTGAGCCTGCCAAGCCAACTCCAAAAAGTCATTCCTGGCCCTGGAATTCCAGAGGTCCCGAGCATTCCTGATCCACACCAAAGTGACTCCTCAGAGCTGCAGCCCTCCCTGCCCTGCTGCAGTTACCAAATGCCACTCACAGGCACCGATTTTTCACTGTCCAGAAGCTCTGACCATCCCAAAGGATTTCATATCCATAAATCCTGCTGAGATGCTTGGGAAAAGGTCACTTCCCAGTGCCCAGCCCTGTGCACTCAGTGCCTGTGTCCCTCCCCCAGCCGGCTCTGAGCTCTCAGACACGCAGCAGACACACACACAGATCTGAGATCGTGTTTCAGGTCATCTTTAAGGTCCTTCTCAACCCAAACCGTTCTGTCATCTGTGAAATCCTGGAGATTTTTGGTTATCCAGCCTTCTCTTCCTGGCCAAATCCCCCCATTCCTGGGAGAGTCCTGTAGCCGTGGAAAGGGGTTTTAACCCTTTAAGTGAGGCAGAAATAAGATGCACAGCTACATGGTGGTCTGTCATGACAGGAAGAAAGAGACAAGTTTATTCAGAAACACACTTGGTTTTATAGCATGACTGCAACTCCCAGAGTAGAGAAAAGGTGATTGGTTCAGAGAGAAGGCAATCCCATTTTTAGGGTTTGGTCACGTACTACAACAGGTGTTTTATCTTGTTATTAATTCCTTTTCATTTTGACCAAATTATCACCCTGGGAGAAATTTTCTCTAGCCTTGAGCTGGGCCAGTTCATTGGCTGGGAACAGAGCTGAAAAGCTCCAGCCTGGAACATTTTCCAGGCTGTAATTTTCTTACTTTCTCCATATGTGTCCCACAGAGTGGTCAGGGAAGCTGCCCCGAGGCACCTCCAGGAGCATCTCTGACAGCTCAGCTTGGGCCGAAAGGGGATGGAGGAATTCTGCGGGAGTCAGACCTGGACAGCTCCCTCAGCCGGCAGGTGGGAGCCTCCTCCTCTCTCTTTTCCCAGCTTTTAGCTTGGGATCCCGCAGCTTTCCACACAGGAATTCCCAGGATCATGCACAAGGAGGCTGAGGCTGCTCCCTGACGGGGAGCATCCCTTTCTCCGTGTTCCTCCCCTGGCAAGGTCCCAAAAGCAGGCAGGGGATGAACATTTGGGGGTGAACACTCGTGTTCCAGAGTTCTGGAGTGGCAGGACACAGGTAATGGCTTCCAGAGGGCAGGAATGGATGGGATATTGGGAAGGGATTGTTCCCTGGGAGAATGGTGAATTCCTGGAATGGAATTCCCAGAGAAGCTGTGGCTGCTCCTGGATCCCTGAAAATGTCCAAGGCCAGGCTGGGTGGGTTTGGAGCAGCCTGGGATGATGGAAGGTGTCCCTGCCCATGGCAGAGTTTGGAATTAAATGGGTTTAAGGTCCCTCCCAACCCAAATCATTCCAGGATTTTTTTAAGTGCCAACACCATAGAGATGATGCACAGGGATCACTTCAGGCAGTAACTCAGGAAGATTTGGGGGATTCATTGTTGACTTTCACCAGCCCAGGTGATGCTCTTCCTCATTTCCCTGTGACTTGTGACCATTTCTGTCTCATTGTGCTGCAATATTCCCACGTTCCCAATCCTCCAGCCATAAAGCTGCCTGGTGAGAGGAAGAGTATTCCTGATATTCCTGACCTCTTCCCTAGAGCTGGCCAGTGCAGGGATAGTCCAGCTTTGTTTCTGGAAAGTAAAACTGCCTCAGGATCAAACCTGAGGATGTGGATACCGTGGGGATTTGTTTTCTCTACTAGAAAAAACAAAAACTAAAGCAATGTTTGTGAGAGAGAGGCTGGGGGAAAAGTCCAACTTCCTAAAATAGGAAAACTGTTGCACTCATTTCATTTTTTCTCCTGAGGAGATTGAGAGGGGGGAAAAAAATTAAGCTGGCAGATGTCTGTGATTGTGCTGAATGCACTCAGATCCTTGGGTGATAAATGTGGCAGGAGAGCTGGAACAGAACAGGATAAATGTATTTGGTGAGGTCCTGTCAAAGGATCCATTTCCCATTAAAACAGGAAGGGAGCAGCAGGAAATGTGCTTGGAATGGGAATGGCTGATATAAACAGAAGGGGGTCCTGGTTCCCTCCAGCACCCCCAAGGCAGCCTCAGAACCTCCACTGAGACAATTTTGGGGTATTTCCCATGATTTTCTGGGTTTACTCTGGAGTTGGTGCCCACCCCCCTTCCAAAATCTCTCTTTTCAGGGAGGATCAGGAGATTCTGGGCACTGCTCACACCAAACAAAGCCAGTCAGGGATTTCCCACAGGATTTTTTTCCCCTCTTTGTCCTCAGCTCATCAAACCCAAATGTCTTTGTCATCTTCTCTTCCATAAAGATCCTGGTGCCAGGAAAAGGGATTCAGGTGAGAACTGAGGGAGGATTGTTGGGAGATTACCAGGACAGGATGGAAATAGGGAAAGGAAACAAATCCCCTGGATACTGTAAGAGATCCGTGAATTAATTAATTAATTGGGCAGAATTAATGAATGTTTGTGCTCCCTTCTCTGTCCTTGCAGCTGAAGGAGCTGAAGAAGCTCATGGGTATCAAATAAACAGGAATTAAATGGGATATAACAGACATTGGGATCAGGCAATGGAATTTCCCCTGCCCATTTCATAGCAGGAGTAGAAGAATTGTTGGTTTTGTTATCAAGAGGGAGGGAGAAGCTGAGCAAGGAGGGAAGAGGAGCAGGGCAGACATTCCACCCCTCCTTTGCTTCCTGGAGTTCTCTGAGGGATTTATTTGGGAGAAGGGTGAGGCGCAGCAGCTGTGCAGTGAAGGATGTGATTCCTACCCCTCCAAAAATCTCTTTAGGAGGCGTTGAGGAGGTTT